AAGAGGAGAAACTCTTTAAAGCGGCAGATGTTGCGAGGAAGTTGAATGTGGAAGCACTAGATGAGTTCCGCTTCTCCGTGCAATGTACACGTAATACGGCATATATGGTGGACATGACTGATAGCACATGTACTTGTACGAGATTTCAGTTGGAGAGTTTTTCATGTGAGCATGCAGTTGCGGTGGCCATGTATCGAGACTTTGCAGCGAGAACGTTATGCTCTTTATATTATACGACTGAATCTTGGAGAACAGCATATGCTGAGACTATATATCCTCTATTGAATGAAGCCAAGTGGGAAGTTCCCGAGCACATTCTTCCGTTTCATACTTTGTTGCCACCAGTAGTTGAACCGCGTGGTCCTGGACGTCCAAGTACATATAGAATACCATCTACCAAAGAGTTTCCTCGACCGCGTAGGTGTGGCAGGTGCAGAGCCATAGGGCATACTCGGCAATTTTGTAGCAATCAAATTCCCCTAAATGACAATTAGACAGGTACGTTAAATGAATAATATTTCCGTTTACTTTACACTGTTCAATATTTGTTCTTCATAAATATTCAATATTCAATATTTATTTTTGATAAATGATATTTATAATGATTCATATGAAAAAAATAGTTCCATACTCGGCATATGTGTAAAATAACAAAAAATCAACTTACAAAAAAATAATTAAATTTTCAATGTGAATGTTATATATATTGAACACAAATTTACAATTATTTCATAATCACAAAAAATAATTAAATTCACAATTCGAATGTTACATATATTTAATACAAATTTACGGGTCACCATTAAATTCGAACAAATCACAAGCTAACTTCTTTCTTCAGTTCTGTATCCACGATTGGTTGATTCCATCAACCTTATATCCTATACTTAAAAATTCAACGTACTTAATTTCAAATATGCCACAGTCGTCGCTACAATTGAACAAGAATGAATCAGTTCAGTACTGTGTAGGTAAAAATTAAATTTGAAAGATGAAAACAACAAAGTTCAAACACTTACCTTATGGACTGTCACACTGTCGTTGTGTGTACAGTCATCCCCGCTCGTCTGGCTATCATAGGAACAATTACAGCTACGGACTCCAAGTTTTGCTCCAGCTAGCCTTGTGTTAAACATGAATGATCTTGGTCGTACACATATATAGTCGTGTCAGCAAAAACGATCTCCAGCGTAACATAGTGATTATTGATGCACGCTGGAATGTACATATGTGTACAACCCTCCCATGATTTTTCCTCGACACTCGGTGACATTCCTATGACCTAATCGAACATATATTCTGGCACCGTGTACTCATTACCCATAAGTTGGAGCGACTGATACTCTATGATAATGGCACGCAGGAACTCTGTGTTTAATATGACTCGACCATGGACGTCAAATGATTTTGGATGTCTTTGAGCTCGATCTTGCAGCAGGTCCATGGCCAGGTCGATGTGCTCCATCAGGAAACACCAAAAAAGTATGAGTTATTCATTTAATAAACACAAAGTGACGTATACATAGAAAATACGAAATGAATAGTTCACTTATATCGTCAGCGAGCCAAGCTCCCGAAGTGGTGATATCGTGGAATCACTTGTAAGCGTTCGAGACCGTCCTTTGACCTATCGTGCAGCTAACTCTAAAAAAACCAGGGAAATGTTAAAATAAGTATAGACGAATTAGCGTACAGTGCTTTATTAAAATCATACAATACTTACCCGGGGATAATTCTCCTCCACTCCGTCTCGAACGCTTTCCACTTGATATTGTCCACCTCCCTGAATAAGTTCGGGTGCGTCCCATCGATGAACGTCCTCCTCTTGGCCTCAGTCGTGAAGGGGGAAACAATATACTGTGACGTCACTCTCAACCTCTTGCCGACCACCTGCTTCGTCTCATCAACAGCATGTCTCTTACCCTCAATTATGATGGGCATCCTCTCGACCTTAGGGCCAACTCCTCCGTCCTTTCCCATCGGGGCTATCCCCTCTGTCGTCCCCTCTTCCATCTCGTTGGGGCTACTTCCTCCCCCTTCATAGACAACCACAATAATTCTAATGTCCCATCACGTCAAAAATGTGAGTAACCCCCCTTGCCATCACCATCTCTGCCACCCTCTCGATCATCATCTCCGCCATCCCCTCATCGCCTGCCGACTAAATCTCCTCTAAGTGTCGCTATCGTATCCTGAAGGTCGACAACACAAGACCGTAGCATTCCAACATCATGGGATAGATCGTCAACCCTCCCTGTCAACTCTCGTCTTATATCGTTGACCCTCCATGTCAAATAGTCGACCTTCCCGGTCAGATCGTCGACCATCTCTGTTAACTCTCGTCCCAGATCATCGACCCTCTTCGTCAACTCTCGTTGTAGCGCGCCGACCTCCTCTGCTATAAATCCAGTCAGACGGGCATACAAATCATTACTGTGTACTGGAGATACATGCGGGAGGTGTCTGGACGAGGGAGAAGGAGATACCCTCGGCGGTGGTAATGCTAATGGCGGCGACGATACCCTCGACAGAAGTGATGCCAATGGCAGCGACAATACTCTCGACGGAGATGATGCCATTGGTGGCGGCGATACCCTCGATGGAGGTGATCGTCGATCAGCTGGACCGCCCTCCTACATAAATAACATTAAAAATTATTCAATAAATTTATACGTTGACGATATTCAATAAATTATATTTAATTCACATACCCAATCTCGATCCAGGTTCGGATCAGACATCTCTTAGTCTTGGGTGTGCGGAACGCCTAAATCCCGCACAAGACCCTGAGCCTCCTCTTTCATTGACGGCGTCAACTCAAGTATGACTTCAAGCTGACATATTGACATTTCAACTAGTTACCGATTATGTAAACAGATTTTAAACTACGTATAATATAAATCACAAATGCATAATATTTACATGAGGATCGTCGAGGAGGGCCGATAACTGTTTCCCAGTGGGACATCCGTCCGCTCGCGATGATCTCCAATGATGCATCCGAGGGCATCGTGTCTTCCATTGCTTCGCAAAGCGGGCCCCCAGTACAAGGACTGTATCATATATCCAAATCTGCAACACATACACTTATTATGCATAAATATAATATACTAAAACTTTAACTTTGATTATATTAAGCATTTACTTGCACTGCTGAGGGCAATCCATATGTATTGTATTTACGCATTGACCCCTTGGGCCTCGAGTGTGATCTGGTGAAAACATGTACGGTGTCTTTGTAGCATCTCTGACCTCATGGATAGATGTTGAACGCATTGATGTCGTCAACAATTTGCAAATGAAAAATGTCGATCACAGCCTTCTTGTGATGACACCTCGTCACACTCTCGATGATGTAGATCGGCCCAAATTTCAGTCTATCTAGCATCTGGTCGCACCCCCTGATCGCGACCATCAACTCGGGTAGAAGCACCGACCCATGTCCCTGGAAGTACGTCTCGTATAATCTATTGCTTCTCTCAATGGCTGCATCGTCGCCCGTAATCCTCAGTCCAGTGATCAAACTAAACTCATACATCGAGAAATTGACGACCTAGCCCCCGAGGTTGAAGTGGAGGGAATCGCCATCGACTAGCCTCAGAATCCGACATAGAAGTGCATCGATTATCTGTCCTGAGTATTGCACCTCTCGCATCTGGTACAATGGCCACAACAAGGACCGTCGTACCATATCTCTGTGATGATCATCGAACAGCTCCAACACCCCAGTAAAACTCTCAAAGCTACTGTTCCAAATAGCTTTCCCTGCCATCCGTCTCAACTCCCCATCTAAATAATACTCCATCCTGCAAAAATTCAAATGTTAGAACATTAAACAAGAGATAATAAAATAACGCGTAATCTCAAAAAAATCAATGGGAACTGAATTCTTGACGCTAATAACAAAATAAATTCAATACAAATGTAAAAAATAATTAATTAAATTAAAATATAAATTAATGAGATTTTCAGCAAAATAAAATTATTAATATTTAAAGAATACAAAAAGGTTAAAAATTAAAGATTAAATATATTTTCAAAAGAAATTAAAGAATATAAATATTATTTAAATAAAATTTAAAAAATTAAAGAATATAAAAATTAAATAAATAAATAACATAATTATTATTTAATCAAATGAAAATTATAAAGAAAATTAATCTTATATTTACATTTGGAAAATGCATTTACAAAAAAAAATTTAAAATTAAATAAATAATATGGAAAATAAATTGTTAATTTCAGATAATATTCAATTATTAAATTATATAAATAAAAAACAATTAAAAAAATAAATAAATAACATAATTATTAATAAATTAATTATAAAATATATTTAAAAAAATTAAAAAATTAAATATATATATTTTTAAAAAAATTAAATGTTAACAGTCTTTCGGCCCAAGACCGTTAATAGTCGGCCCAAAGACTGTTTTCTGTGTTCACAGTCTTGGGCTGACGCCTGACTGTTAACAGCTGGCACAAAGATTGTGTCTGTTGTTAACAGTCGGTCAAAGACTGTTAAATCCGACTGTTATTAGTCGACGTCATTCATAAGGTCTCTTTTCATCGGAAATCGCCATTTTCGACAATGAAAGGTCTAAAAAATTCACATTTTCCATCCAAACACCACACAATCTAACTACTCATGCTAGTATTAACCGAATATAAATGTAAAAAAATTCAATTGATTATAAACAACAAAAATTACAATTTTGTGCGAGAAAACTAATCGAAATAGTTTCGTCCGGTGGTAGATGGTGGTCGTTGATCCAAGTCGCGCGTCGGTCGGTTTGTGGTTGATCGGAAAATGTGGCAATTGGGGTGTCGGTTTTCTTTGGATCCTTCGGTTAGGCTTCGAAAATAATTTATCAAGAGTAAAATAACTCTTTTGTGTGTGTAAAGTTATTTTTTAATTATTATTATTATTTTTTAGTTTACTTAATGGCTCAAATGCCAATATTAAAATTTGGTACCGTCCTCTATTTCTGTGTATTTCCTCCAAATAAATTTACCTTTTCACTTCCAGTCCAACGTGCCCTCTCGTATGCAACAAGTAGAAATGGAAGAGTCTGTGCGAATCCGCCGATTCAATGAAATTCCATCAGCCGAAGAGTTCGCTTCTCAGATTGAACCCAGAAATGTTCCAGCTGTAATATTTAAATGCCCACAAGCACTTTACAAGCACATATATTGTTTTTTTTTTTTTTTTCGCGTTTTCTGTTTAATGTAAGCGTTGTTTTTATTTGATTAACGTACTGATTAAGGTTTATTCGAAAGGTATTTAGCGGATGCATTAAGAATTGGAAGGCCTTTTCTAAATGGAACCCCTCCAATGGCGGTCTCGATTATCTGCAGGTCATCTATATCTATTTGTTTGTATTTACATCTTTATGAGTATTACGAAGACCTCATGCTTTGAATTTGTTTCAACTCTGTTTAATGTAAGCGTTGTTTTTATTTGATTAACGTACTGATTAAGGTTTATTCGAAAGGTATTTAGCGGATGCATTAAGAATTGGAAGGCCTTTTCTAAATGGAACCCCTCCAATGGCGGTCTCGATTATCTGCAGGTCATCTATATCTATTTGTTTGTATTTACATCTTTATGAGTATTACGAAGACCTCATGCTTTGAATTTGTTTCAACCGTATATACATATGTGAAAACCTGTGTTAAAACGTTTCTGGAACACATGGTGCGTGTATGTTTTACTTACAGGGCGAAAATTTTCTGGCTTATGCTTTTTTAGTGTCTCAAGGTGCAGAGTTGAGCTTTGAAATAAGGACGAATTAACTTAGAAAAATTATCTGCCTCCTTCATGCTCCTGCATTTTTGTTGCCTTCCAACTGTTTGGATGTCTTATATTGATATTTGAAATTGAATTAGAAAAGCGTGAAATCTTAGGTTAAGTTTCATGTTGTTAATTTGAAAAATTCAAAATTGGCAAAATTTGCATTTCGTTTCCCTTGCAGAACTTTGGCAAGATGGAATGTCAACTTGTTTCAGATGTAGAATGGGAGTTCTTCATGTAGCTATGAAATTGTAAATATTTCTGCTTTATCTGAGTTCTAAACTTGCTTTCTCTGTTTTTGTTTCCTCTACAATGGCAAATAGGAACTGGTAGGCTCGTTAGTTGTTGAGGCTATGCTGTCCAGATCTGCTCCTGTTTTTTATGGAGATATTAGAAGTCATGAAAGGGTAATATTTTGCTTTTAATAAATATTTCGAAAATATGAAACTTCAAACTGCTAGTCTTATTATTTTTTTTTTCTGCTCATTTTTTCCCCAATCTTGATAGGTTCCTATACCTTTTTCCACCTTTGCTGGATACTGCAAGGATCTTTTACAAAATGGAGATGCTGTTCAAGATTCTTTTTCTGATTCAAGGAGGCATATGTCAGCAGGGCTTGTTTCCGAGCAAAGTAATCCCATTACTGGAGAAGCAGCTCCACAGCAAATTTATCTAGCACAGGTAAGATTTTTGGTCACTTAAAATGTCAGGATACACTTGCATTATTCACTTTCACATACGTTGATCGCTGTATTGATTGTGTTCTACTTCTCTAACTATTTATAGATAAATAATATAAATAAAATACCTTTCTATTGCCTTTGCTTTATATGATGAATGATTAATGTTGACATCAAAATTGGCTAACAGTTAAGATGTGCATGAATCTCTACGTGTGTAGATTTTCGGGGATTAACCTGCCCTGTCTAAAGTTACGAGTTTTTGGGATAGGATTTGCTTGAGCAAAAGGAGAAAATGCACGAATTTCTTACATCTTTCTAGCGACACCAAGAATGAGATTGAGATCCTTTGAGTTTGAAGAAACCCTCAAAATTGAGGTCTCCAATTCATGTACACTTCTCTTTTGCTCTAGCAAATTATATCCCAAAACTCAACTTTAAATAGGGTAGGTTAGTCCTCTAAAATCTACTGCACCTGGAGATTCGTGGACATCTCAACTGTAGGACGATTTTGACGTCAAGAATAACGTGTATATTTTGCTAGTTACAGAGTGAAGAATATTATATGTGTTACTATTATTATCAGCTTTTCTATGCATAAAATGTATTTAGGCAATTAGACATCTAATCTCGTGTATGTGTGTTTATGCTGCTGGTTATTACTAAAGTCATTTGTCTTATCAGTTGTCCTGTGGCCACCTTCTGCAAGTCCCTTCTTATACCCAATGGCTTTATATGGGGAAGCCTCGAATCACAGGTTCGTAACAACCGGTATTTCAATTCTCTGCACTTTTTCACTATTTAAAGTAGCATGTTCCTTATCTTTGGAGCTGGTTCCTGGATTAGTTGGAATTTTTTTCCTAATCGTCATATTTTTACTCCTGTTCAGTTCCGTTGCTTTAGAAAACCCAGATCTCCATGTACATCCTAGGGCAGAGCAGTTAGATAAGTACTCTCAGAAGGTTATTCTCCATGCAGGCGATGCTCTTTTCATTCCAGAGGGCTGGTAATCCTTTTCTTTTTTATTTTTTTGCTTCTGATGGTTTTAAAAATGTACTGCAGTATCTCTATCTTGTGGGGGAGGGGGAGTAAAGAAAATAAACTTTCTATGACTGCCATCTTGTTGATGATTGCTTTTTTATATCCGCATACAAGTTCCTTCCTCTTTGGGGTGAGTGAAGCTGTAATAACAGTTTCATATGCCCGGTAACACATGGAGACAATATTTTGTATGCAAACCTATTCATTAAACCACGGAATGGTTGAACAAGTAGCCAGGCAAGCTTGGGCCACCAGTTTTAGGGAAAAAAATACAAATACCACAATCAGGTTGTTGGTTATGTTGTAAAGTAGTAGTATAAAGTAGTAGTATCGATGACTAGAAAAATAAAAATGTTGATAATGACTTTTATATAGACTGTATTCAGAAATACGTGTAGTTGCTTCATAAATTTTTACGATATTCATTTCAAGTAAAGAATTTTATGGATCTGCAGATGACTGAAAAATGCTTCAAAAAATATATTTTTTGAGATTCCCTGAAACTCCTGGTGTTACAGGTTTCACCAAGTGGACAGTGGAAGTTTAACTATTGCTGTCAATTTCTGGTGGCGGTCAGATGTGATGTCTGGCATGTTAGAGCACATGGATGCATATTATCTGCGCAGAATTTTGAAAAGGTAATTTGTGTCCACTTCATTTTGTTATGGTTTAGCTAATACAAAGTGAGCTAATTATTTTCTCTTTCTCTTTGTGCGGTCGCTCGATTTGAAATCAAAGATTGACTGACAAAGAAATGGTATGTAACTTTTACTTAATATTTTACTTACAAATTCAATAATGCAGGGTTCTGGTTTTATGCTGTGTTGACTTGATGGTGGCCTTTGTTGAACTTTGCAATTTATTATATGCTTGCAAATTTTATGTGCTTGTCTAACTTATTGTTTTTTGAAGGATGACTATATTTGTAGGTTGGAATAGATTAATCAAGGTGATACTAGGCTCAAAACAGGTTGCAGTTACATAAATAGAAGTGTCTGTCACATGTTAGGTGATAGCTACGTGCAAATTTTGTAATTTGGTTATTAGTCAGCCAGGGAGATGTGCTTTATGAGACCAAATGCATTGCATCAAAAAATACTTGCTCCTGGGTTGAGTTCGGAAGTTATTTAAACACTAAGTTAGTAATACATATTACGTGGAAGGAACAAATTAAACCTAGAAAAAACTTATTTATTTGAGTAATTTTGTTTTCCTAATAGGATCTTCTTGAGTTGTTAGAAGTAACATTGAAGGATATGCATTGAGAGATCTACAGAGGTTTTAGCATACATAAAACTAGATCCATTATGTTATTGGTGGGAATTGATAAATAGTGGCACTTTCACCGACATTTTACTTGTTAACTCTAAATATTAGAGGTTGGGTAGGATCTCAATTAGTATAGATTGAGGCATACAACATACAGGATTGACGATTGTCCTTAAGATGGATACTGTCCATAAATCTTTAAGAAATTGAATCTGTTAAAACTGATCCCATGTAGTTGGATTTTTTTTTGACACTAAACAAATGAAAGGAAATTGTTACAGAATAATTTATAGGGCCGAGAAATTTTTGTCAAATGATGAACACATTTTTGAGCTTTGTTTATCGCAACTGGTTCTTTCCCATGTTCTCCACAATGTTAACTTGAATTGTTTTGCTGTTGTTCCTACTGAAAAAGTTTCATTGTTTTGCCTTCGTGGAATTTATGTTCCATGTTTAAATGGAGTTGATTAGATTATCTTAATCAATTGCTTGGGTAATAAAACTTTGTTTTGCTAAACTACACTATTGGTACTCTCTTTTACAGAAGGTAAATACAGTGTTATCTTATTTGATCAGGGCAGGATCGAATGCTGTGCAAGCCATTGACTACTGTGGCTAAATTAGCGACTAATAAAGGCAAACAGTGCAATAATGAGAAATCAGGCGAACTGTCTAATAATGGGACTTCAGGTAATTTGTTTTAATTTGTTTCTAATAAGAGAATGCAGGCCCCACTTCGAATCTTTGTTTGTTTTGGAATATTCTTCTTTCAAGTGTGATGTGTTTAGGCTTTGATTTGTTTCAAAGGGGAAATTTTTATGCCCGAGGTCATGCTTGTAATTTGTTTTGGAACACACTGCTTTATCCATCAGTTTACAGCGAAGAGTCAGATCTGGACCATCAGAATGTTAGTTCAAAAGAGAATAAGCTAAAGCAAAGGTTTATGTTGAGCGACCTCGAACCTCGTGCACTCCTTGCTCTTCGGGAACTTATTTCTTTAGTCCATAGCAATGTCAACCAGTGCCAACGAGCAGAATCCTCATCAAGTCAGTCAGTAAGCGGGGAGAGAGATGAAATCAAGGAAACTGTCAAAACAAACTTATTTATCTTGGAAGAAGATCCAATTGCTCAAATTATTTGGACTCTCCATCCGCTTATCCTTCTAAGTGTCTTTCTTGCCATGGCTGTAAGTTTATACTATCTTTCTGACTGATAAAGATCCTCTTTTCTTACAGGGAAAAAAGGAAAAGAAAAGAAAGAAAGAAAGAAAACTTGGTTGAGTGGGCTTTACTTTTCTGTACGGTCCTGCATGCTTCTTTGCCATTTTCATATTCTTGTCAATGCATTGTCCCTGTTTGCAAATTGTTCAATTTCCCATGGATATGTATGGATCAATTAGCTTTCTGCACAATATAACTGATAAATTTTGGAAAAAGAGACGTAGAAGGTTATTAGAGCTTTAATGTCAGTTTGGCATGGAAACAACTGATAATGATTAAAGATGAGAATCAGGTAATATAAGGAGAAACGTCATACTTAAGAAAGACCTTGATGACCTTAAATTTGGTACCTTTTTGCCAGCTGTATTCTAAATTTGGTATAGGATGACTCAGAAGCAAACAGGTGGTATTCCATGACCTAAAATCTATAATTAACACTATCGACGTGATTATTCTTATATAATATGTAAAATCTGGTAAAGAATGCTTCAACTTCTCGAATCTTGGGTGAAGTATTTGACAAAATTGGAGATACTTTTTGTCTGAAAACCATTTGTTTGCTTGTTCCATTGTCACTAATTTTTCCTTAAATCTCTTGAGCTTGGGTTTGCTGCTACTGCCATGTCATTCATTGAAATATGTTGCATACACGTACAGTTTCTGATGAATTAATTGGATTGAAGCTGCCCCTGTTGTTAATGTTTGTCTTGTTCTTGCTCCAACTTCCACCAAATTGATTGAATTTTCCAGCACAATTTCCCTAGAACATTGGAGGCTTTAGTATTGCACGCACTCTCACCCGTGGGTATTGAAGTTCTTACTAGGAAATTTGAGGAAATTGATAAAGTGACTGTAGAAGAAGATCGGTACTTATCTGTTTCTTCAATGGTTCCTTCTAATCTCTATAAAGGTTAGAATTTGACTTTGGGTCTGTCTTATATGTTGTGCTGCTTACAGAAATCAATTCTACCAGAAGTTTTACAGCGTGTTTGATAACCAGTTTGCTGCGATGGATGCTCTTCTGAGTGGAAAAGAAGCATTTGCTAGTCAGGTATTTCATCAATTTCTTTTCTGTTTTCTTCAATTTTTGCCCCCCGAGCCCAGACAAAACCCTCAGTGATTGGGATGGAGAGGGTTGGGTGATGCATTGGTTTCATGGAAATTTTGTTTTCGCAAATCTGGGGGCAGAAATGAGTTCTTCCTATCTAGCATGGATAATATCAACATAAGAGAGTTTCTGATTATTACAAAAGCTAAGGGAAGATTGGAATACTTGAACTTTGGTTATTTAATTGATTAATACATGCCATTTCTCGTCCCAACATCACATCATGGCTTCAACTTTCATGCTTTCTTCTCCAGTCTATTTGTGTCAATGTATGGGCACTGAACAAGTTGTTTGCCATCTGCATCTTTTCTTGTGATTTTCATCCTCATAATCGACACTCGATCAAACTCTTATGAAAAATCTTATGCTTTTCTTGAATTTCTGAATTTAAGACGGCTGCTTCCATAATTTATAAACTAGATAAAAGGTATTTATTTTTGGAGCAAATTGCTTTTTATGACATGATTGAAATAACTCTTTTTAAGTATTCCTTCTTGCAACAGGCATTCAAGAATGTACTAGAGCAGTATTTGGGAAGTGCTTAGTTTAATGGGCTAGAACCATCAATTGGACAAGACATCAACATATTCTTAAAAACATTGATTGCCTCGGTAATCTCGTTACTGCAACTCAATTCAAATCGACAATGGTGGTTCTACTTTCTTGGTTTCGAAAGACACCTGTGGTTCCTTCTGTAATAGAATATGAGTCCCATATAAATTTTGCCATTGCATTTCCCGCTTTTCAGTCTCATGCATACTTTGTATGATTTAAAATGCAGCTATGCTGAATATGTTCGAGTATCTCCATATAATATTCGGTTGTCTAAAATTTTATATTTGAATTAGCTACTTGTGTGATTTAAAGTCATTGATTTCTTGACTATTCAGGGAGAAGCACTTTGTACCCGAAGTCACTGTTTCTGTAATATCACAGAGAAATTTTTTAGCCTTTTTGCAGTTTTCGTATCAAATTTGTTTCCTGTCCCTTGAGAAACTTTGAAGCCTTCTGCTCGTTAGAGAAAAATGGCATCGATAGTGGATTGGAGGCGAGATGTTATTGTGAAATTGTTTAAAGAATAGAGTTTTGACAAATTCGAATCTAACACTGACGTGGAATTGACTATAGAGTTTAAAAACAAAAAATAATTCGGCTGTTTATTGTCCATTATTGATGCTTGCAAGAGATGGTAGGGCTTTGTCATAGTGTTGCAATGTGCACTTCAAGAGTATTACGTGGTCGGGACATGTTCTTTATCGATCTGAACATCTTACGTTCACAAGAGTGACGTGATTTCAGTAGAGCTAGTTATAAGAAGGGATAGGCCAAAACTAACATTGTCTTTTATAGTTGTTTAAGATTTAGTTGCTCCACATATTTAGCATATATTTAGCAATATATCGAATAGAGCATTGAAATAGAATTCACGTGCTTGATCTCAAATTTATCGAAAGAGAAGTGCTATAAATACAGCACTTTTGACAGCTCTTTGATTTGTATGGGTGGAGCCCATGATTATTTTAATTTCAAATCCCAAGTTTTGTGAGAAGGCTGTCAAATATGTTGTACCTTTAGCATTTTCCTTATTGAAAATAAGATTTAGTTTGTTGTTCTTATTATGCATGATGACAGCTGTTCCGCCATAGAGTGTTCTAAACTTATCCGGTTCATTGTGATGAGAAACTAGTGGCTTCCTGCAACAGTTTGGGTCTTCTTCTTAGGTAACTGTTATTTTCTTGGCCACTTGGCTTACCCTATTCATTATCAACTCCTAAAAATCAGTAAAATAGTGAGAATATACATCTCTGTCAAAGTAGTCCTTTCTTTAGTTTCCTTTTTCATTTTGTGTGGAATCAATTAATATTATGTTGAAATGACTTTAGATATTTTCCTTTGCTCTTTATTCATTGCTGTGGTGATACTCAGTGGTTTTATGGAAAAGTGTGATTACTGACTTGCACAAGGAATTGTCAAAGGGAAAATTGATAAAAGCAAAGAAAAGAAGGTTTGGCAATTATTTAGCTTTGGAAGAAAGAAGCAAAAGGAATAAAAGGTAGGTCAGGATAGTAAATTTGTGCGGCCCCGTCCGTCCCTAGAGCCGAGTTTACCCGGACCAGAGCATGTAGAACTGTAGTAGAAGGAAAGCAAATAGCGAAAAGGCAATAGCCCTTGATGCAGGAAATGCACAAACTTGATAAAGAACAATAAGATAATGAGAATAAGGTGATTAAAGGGAAGAATTGAGGGCAAAAAGAATTGTTTTATTTCATATGAATTATGATTCAAGTTTTTTGAAATCGATTCCTTAAGTCCTTTTATATGGTGAAGATCTGCAACTAAACATTCTTTCTATCTAAATAAACTAAAATAAAAGATACATCAATTTTCCTATCTCGATAAATTGAAATAAAAGATAACATCAAGATAAATTGAATTAAGAAGATAACATCAAATTTTAATTCTATTTAATCATAGTATTTCGTCTTAAATAGACTTTTAACTCTTTACGTGTTGCATCAACCTTCCCTGGTTAAAAAGAACTCGACTCCGACGAGGTATTATCCAAGTAGGCATCCAAAACCTTTGCATACAGTGGAACTCTTTTTTTAGTTATCCGAGTACCATCACTAAGCGGATGATATTTCCAACGTACTAGAAAATGCTGGAAAACCCCCATATGGGAAGCAATAATTTGATCATCAAGAACCTCATCAACAATATCCTAAGGTGAAAATGTGGTGACAGGTGCTGAAGGCGGCGGTGAGGAGCTTCTCCTGTAGATATGTTAGAAGACAAAATTGGAGGCTTAAATGTGCCTCGATAAGGATACAAGTCGGCTATATTGAAAATAAGACTAATATTTAAGTGCAACGACAAATCAAGTAGATAAGCATTAATTCCAAAATTTTTTAATAATAGGGAAAGGGCCAAGTGATTTAACATAAAGTTTTTTTGCAGTACGTTTTGGAAAACGTTGAGGTGGCAAGCATATGATGACAAAATCACCAATTTTAAACTTTTTTATGCCTATGATATAAGTCAGTAGTCATTTTATAGTGATATTGCTTAAAACAAATTTTCTTTTAGTCTCATCATGCAAGTTACGAATATGATTAGCAGGGACAGCGAAACAGCGAAACGACAATCAAGAGGCAACGGAACTAGATCAAGGGGTTGACGTGGGGTGAAATCGAGAGCAACCTCAAATGGGCTATGACTTGTAGAACTATTGACAGAATTGTTGTAAGGAAACTTGGCAAAACTATTGACTAGTAGTTATCTCTAACCAATTTTTCATGTTTATAAGCTAGAAACACAATATAATTTTCTCTCTCGAGTTTTGAGTAAAAATTATTCCTATATTTCAATTCTAATATCTCTATTCTGAATTAAAAGCTAAAAATTATCAAGTTCGTGGTTTTTAAGTGGAATATGCTTCAAAGGAATTATACTTTCTCTCGAAATTTATAAATTCTTAAGTTGTGTTATTTTAGGGCACACTTAAATTTTCCTCTCTCGAGTGCCAAAATTAACTAGCATCAAATCATTCAATTAGTGGCTAATTAATTGAAAGCATTAAATAGATAACACAAATAAACAAAATTGGCAAATCTCATAGAAATAACTAAAATAAATCAAATCGTATTCTCAAGTTTTGGTTACATCAAACCCTACATGCAAAGTTTAGTTCATGATAGAAGAAAGAATTCTACAAATCATAATTAATAACATAACATGAAGTAGAATAAAAACTCTTTTGAAGATTGAATTGATCCCATTTCTTGATGTTCTTTTGATCTCTTAATTGATTTTCTCTTTCTTGCCCGATTGAATTGTGCTTGAAAAGTGGCATCTAGATTGGCATTTATGCCTTGTTGAAGTTCTTTGAAGAGTTGGATTGAATTTGGGCTTTTAAAAGAAGAATTAAGCTTAAAAAACCCTAATTGTATGCTATGCGACCATGATTGGGCATCGGGCACCGACTTTGGGAAAAAAAATTAGCAATGTGGCGCCTAAGCAATAAGGGATAGTGCCTAGGCGCTTGGGATCAACTTCGGCTGCACTGCACAATTTTTAGTGTTTTATCATAATTTTTTCTCACAATATTCGATTGAGACAATTCAAAGTGTGTTGGAAAGATAACTTAAAGGGCTACAACTTTACTTTAGATGGGCCTTTCCAGTTTGAACGTTTACTATGTCAAAAATGAATCTCAATCTCTGACAAAAAATGTAGCACATACTTGTGCAATTGAGAATTGATTTGTGAAAATATTTTGATTATATTTCACTCCCTTTTGACTTCTAATTGCATTCGAATGACTCCTCAAACTTTGGGTTTCACCATTTTTTTTTATTGTTATTCACTTATTTATTTCAATTTAGCCTCCAATCATCAAGTTTCATCAACTCAACATCAACTTCTCCTTGATTCATGCTGAAACCATTCTTTTCTTCAAATTTTACACCATTCTCTTGAATTCACCTAACATATAAAATAACATTAAAACACAAATTAAGATGTCCTAAAACTTGTAGGAATTAGCTAAATATCAAGTTTAGACAGTGTCTAAATTATGCGTGAAATACACTCATCAGTAGGCAATACTAAATCTCAATTACCTAATTTTTCTCCAACCAATCAACGAAGCAGATTACCTAGACTATGATTGACAATTTCAGTATGACCATCTATCTGATTATGAAAAGTTGATGAGAACTTAAGGGTTGTCACGAACAATTTCCACAATATTTTCCAAAAGTAACTAACAAACTTAATATCACGATTAGAAACAATAGTGATTGGGAAGCCCATGTAGATGAACCTCTTTGAAAAATAGCTTGGCGAAGATGCATCAGTAGACTTATAGAATAAGGAATGAAATGGGTCAACTAAGAAAAATCTATCTACGACCACGAAAATGGAATCATGACCTTGAGAAGTTCTAGGTAACCCTAGGGTAAAATCCATGCTAAGGTCACACCAAGGAAGGAGTATTAGGAACAGGTAGAGGAGTATACATTTTTAGTGTTTTGACATTGTGCCTTACCTAGTTGATAGGTACGGCATTAAGACACAACGCGAACAACGTTCCTTTTCAGGGAAGGCCAATAAAATCTATCTTCGATCAAGGAAATAGTTTTGTCGCTATCGACATGATCAACAAGAGCTCTTGCATGTAGTTCCCAAATATGAAACTCACGAAGCGAGAGGAGTTAGTTAAAAGATCTTGAAAGATGATACCAAAATCAGAACAACTGGGATAATCTTCCTTTAAATGTTCAAATCTTAGCACTGTAGTGCTCATAGTCTAGAGTACAGTCGTAATGCGACTAAGAGCATCGGTTGCTTTGTTGTTGACTTCGGCTTGGCGGTGGAGGACAAATGTGTACTTTTGAAGAAATTCTACCCATTTTAGGTGTCGATCACTTATGTTACGAGAATTGAGATAGTGAAGGGCTTGGTGGTTAGAATAGAGAACGAACTCTTTGGGAAATAAATAATATCTCTAAAGACGAAGAGATTTGATAATAGCATATAAAATACTTTTGTTGTGCCTGATTTAATTTCTCGCTAAACTAAGCGATGGGATAGCCCTCTTGACTTAAGACGCCACCTACACCGACACCCGAAACATTGCAAAAAACTTTAGAGAGGTTAAGGAGACATAAAACATGAGACTCTATCAATTTTTGTTTGATGACTACAAAGGCTCTCTGTGTTGATGAGGTCTAATGAAAAACCCCTTTTTTCATCCATTTAGTAATAGGAGCAATAATGGAACTAAAGCTTTGGATGAATCTTCTATTGAAAGAAGCTAACCAATGAAAGTTATGGACCTCAGTCAATGTCATAGGTTCAGGCCAATCACGAATTATAGAAATTTTAGCTGGGTCAACGAAAATCCCTTGACTGGAGATAATGAACCCTAGGAAGCGGACTTGTGAGTCCCATGAAAGAACACTTCTTAATGTTAGCGTATAGTTTGACAAAGCGAAGGGTAAGAAAGACCAGTCTAAGGTGATCTAGGTGTGCCTTTCGCGATCGATTATATATCACGATATCATCAAAGTTAACCACGAGAAATTTTCCAATGAAAGGGTGCAAGACATGATTTATGATCCTCATAAAAATGCTAGGAATATTAGACATTCCAAAAGGCTTTACCACCCACTTGTATAAGCCATCCTGGGTCTTGAAGGCTGTTTTTCATTCATTCCCTGGTCTAATCATAATTTGACGATAACCGCTTTGTAAATCAATTTTGGAGAACCACAAGGATCATGCTAGCTCATCCAGCATATCTACGAGGCGTGAAATAGGGAACCTATATTTGATAGTGATTTTGTTGATGGCGCGACTATGACGCACATACGCCCACACCCATCTTTTTTTGAGTGAGTAGGACAGGGACAACACAAGGACTGAGGCTATAGCGAATAAATCCTTTAAATAATATGGCCTCAATTTGTCTATTAAGCTCGCCAAAAGATGCGATCAATACCCTCAGAACCACACCTGTAACGTAAGTCAATTCACGATGGTAGATTGACGAATTATTGGGCGGGGTTGGATTTGAACCGGCATAGGCATATTGTTGCGGGATTCATCCTATAGTGTGACGATTAAGCAATTGCGAACCTAGGACCAAATCAATAGCATGGTGAATATCACGTGTATGAGGGAGCTCATCAGATAAGTCATCAGGGGTGATGTCAATAAACTCCTCTATAACGAAGTAACATCAAGGGAGTAATCATTGCGTGACTCAGAAGTAGGTTGGGATCAAGCCTTGTTAAGTGAGGTAAACATCAACCTGTTGTTGTGAAACTCACGCTCAAAGTCGTTATGGGACAAGAGTTGACTCCTATTGTTTGTAGTACAAGTGGGTTTTGCCTTGAGTGGTAGTTTTTTAAGAGGGTCAGAAGGTTAGGCTGGGAGAAGCCGAATAAACTTGCCATGATGGATAAATTCCGAATAAACTTGCCTTGATGGATAAATTCGTAAATGTTTTCACGTCTAAAGTGCTTAACGTTGTGATCATAAAGCCAGGAAGGGCCCAAAAGAATGTGAGCAACATTCATGGATAGGATGTCGCAGTAAAGGCCCTCTAAGTAGAATGGCCCCAACTTAAGGGACACGAGACAACACTGAGTGACAGGAAAAGAAGTCCTATCAACCCATGCCACTTTAGAAGGACGAAGGTGATGTTCGGCTTTGAATTCAAACTTGGTCACAACTAATGTGGAAATGACATTCATAGTACTATTTCCATCAATTACCAATTTGCAAGAACTATATTTACATGGGATGTATGTATAGAATATAGAAGTCCGTTTCTAGGATTCAAAGTCTACAGGGATGGAGAGGTTGAGGATAATCTCATAATAGAGACAATAGCCTCTTCTTCGTCGTAACACTCGAAATGGTCAAGGTCCTTATCTGAATGGTCAATAGGGTTGACTGTGAAACATTCATTGGGCTCGGGAGTCAGAAGTGGTGGTTCTTGATTGAGGACGAGAGTATGGTAAGGACGACGAGAGGTAATATGACCTCTATTCATATATAAGGTGTATACTTGACACCATTTCGCAATTGAGGTATAGAAAGTATATATTTCTGTTACGTATCTTTCCTATAATCCCGCCTAGTTTCCATCAATAAAACGTTTCCACCGCTACAAAATTATCATCAAAAATAAAACATCCAGAGTAATTTCAATCCGGACACTGTAGAACCCTAATTCATCGACATTGATATTTTCGTGTCACAGATTTGGGATCGTCTTGGAGAAATTGACGTTTTCGCATAACAGAAATCAATCCAGGTATTGGTCCGACTATTGCATTCCTTCCTTTTTCGCAATTAGCATCATCAGATTAGTTCCGAATTTCTTCTATACACAAATTTCTAGCGTCCGTATCTATCGTAGCCACATATGTTTCAAATTCAATAATATTGTGCAGTGGGAAATGAATAACATGCATGAGATGTGACTTAATTGAGTGTAACCAGTCGTAGACAAGTGTAGCATCGATTGTGGATGTCTGTGACCACTAAAACAAATGTGGTCGATTGAATGTGACTGCTGTGAAAAAAATGTGACCTCAATTTGTTTTTGATTATTTGTAAGACATGTTACAAATGTGACCTGTGTGTCGCCAAATGTGACCTGCATTTTTCCGTGTCAATAGTGACTTCATGTTATTGCATAAATTCTTATATAAAACTGTATGCACAGTATTAAATTAACCATCGAGAATGTGATGCTTTGAAATTCAATTTTGCAGAAATGGTGTACTTGCACGTATGTTTGTTGCATGGATCTCAGTTAGCTTTGGCGTTGGTAGACTGTGGATGCAGTTATATAAACCTTGTAAACATGATTATGTCAGAGTTCAGCTTGGATCCGACAAAGGTAGCAGTATCATTGAAGTATATACTCAACGACGATTTGCCTGCAATCAGGATAAAAAATGACAGCAACGTGCTTGCATACATTCTGTTGAAAGAAGTCGATCGTGATCCAGCTAAATACCCATTAATCATTGACATAATTGATGCAGCAATACAGTACCCATCTGACATGGTCACAGATAATGCTTATCGTAACAGTGAGCTTTATACGTTGCAGGATGTGGCCACAGAAATTTGCGAAGCATCAAGTAAACATTTAGGTCACATTTGTGACAATGAAGTCACGATTGTTTTTATAGCAGATGCTATTCAGGTCGAAGAAGGCAGGATTTTCCGTGATAAGGATATTTTGAAATTGAGCCTATCGTTTTTTGCCATACGAAACATGTTTGAGTTTATGGTTGAACGATCCGACAAGAAAGAATATGTGGTGAGATGTTCTCATGAAGGATGTACTTGGATATGCCGATCGTCAAAATGGGGTAAAACGAATCTATTTAAGATTCGAAAGATTGGTAGTCACACATGTGCATCAAATGTGGTGTTGGGGTCACACAGACAAGTATCAGCTGCAGTTGTGTCATCTAGCATCAAGTACAAGTACACATCGGCTGGCACCATATACACACCAAAGGACATATGCAGTGATATGCTACATACGTTTGGAGTATATTTGAATTACTCAAAAGCTTGGAGGTCCCGTGAACAAACATTGAAGATGATTAGGGGTGATCCGACAGAATCATTCGGTAGGATACCAAGCTTCTTCTACATGATTCGACAAAGAAATCCTAGTACGGTCACAGAGTTGGAGGTCGATAGTCACAATAGGTTCAAGTACTGTTTTATGGCACTCGGTGCATCAATATAGGGGTGGCAACATTGTAGGCCCGTAATTGTCGTTGACGGTACTTATTTGAATGGTCATTACGGAGGTACCCTATTTACAGCATGTACACAGGATGCAAATAATGGCATATTTGTTCTTGCCTTTGGAGTAGGGGATAATGAGAACGACAAATCGTGGAGATGATTTTTGGAGAAACTGAAGAATGCATATGGGCACAGAGAAGGATTGTGTTTTGTATCGGACCGTCATGGCAGTATAAAGAAAGCAATAGAACAGGTGTACTCGGAAAGTTGCCATGGTATCTGCTCGTACCATTTGTTGCAGAATCTCAAATCATATTATGGGAAATCAGGGCAAAATATTACGCAGGCTTTCAATTCGGCTGTCCGGGCTTACACATTAGAAGAATTTGAATACAACATGCAACAACTAGACGCAATGAATGATAAGATTCGTGATTACCTGGTACTGTACTGACTACAACACTGCATTATCACATGCAGTGAAGTGGTCACATATATCCTTTTATACTATTCTCATACTACGATATATTTTGGCAGGATGAAGTAGGCCATGAAAAGTGGTCACAAATACATATGCCAGCAAACAGATACTCTACAATGACATCAAACATTGTAGAATCAGTAAATGCGGTCACAAAGGCAGCTAAGAATTACCCCATTGTATTCTTGCTGGAGTCATTGCGACAAACAGTACAAAATTGGTTCTGTAAACATAGAGACGAAGCGCATGGAACTTTCACGATGTTGACTAGCAAGTTCGAGAACGTCATGAGGAGAATGAGTTCAGAATTAAGGAACTTGAGGGTAAGGTTCTTAGGTATCTTGAAGTTCGTGTATGTGGACTAAACAGAAATATGCATGTGATTATATCATAGGTGTCTGTGACATGGAATGTACGTATGTGCTTATGTGTCCAAATATTAATTTCATGTGACCACTAATTTACTAATGTGACGCTATGTACTTTGTTTGTCGTGATATATAATTTGTTACTAATGCTAAACATGTGACCTGAGTATGAAGTCCTGTGACCTGAACATACCATTGTGCACTGAGATATGAATGTCTGTGACATATTCTTTTTTGAGTTTAAACTAACACATAACATTGGTGCTATTACACTCTCACAAGTATCTCCTTCCAACCAAACAGTGTTCTCCGTGAGCGATGAAAGGTCCACATTTGTTGTTGATATTGAGCAACATACATGCACTTGCAGGATGCTGCAGGTCGATTTGATGCCTTGTCCACATGCATTGGCTGTAATCGCACATACGAAAAGGGATGCATATTCTTACCGTTCCTATTATTACACAAAGGAAGCATATGTAAATGCTTACGAAAGTTCGGTATATCCCGTTGGAAATCCAGACGAGTGGAGAGTACCCGATGAAGTAGAATTCCAAATTGTTTTAGCTCCTAACCAAAAGCGGAGTTCTGGAAGACCTACTGAGAAGAGTAAGAGATCATCTAGGGAAGGGAAACCAAAATTAAGATGTGGGCGTTGTGGTGCACATGGTCACAACCGCAGGAGGTGCTCAAGTTTGGTCCCATTAAGTAAGAACGGTTGATAGGAAGTCAATACATGATAAAGACTTATCAAAGTTAGGTCGCATTCTTGAATTCTTTTTAGCATACCAACATGTAGACATGTGTTTCAATTGATCAATTGACAAATAATTTTTAAATCGTAAGGTAATAAATGATAAATGAAGTACATCAGCACTTTTTATTCAGTTGAACATAGAGTTTTGTAAATTTGTGATTATAGATTCCATACACAGCAATATATTTGAATTGTGACTATTAATTCACTTAAAGGCATGAATTGTGACCTAAACGTGGTGGAGAACAAATATATGTCCAGGTCACAGATTCCATAAATAAAATGTACTGTGATCAACTCTTGGCAGGCTATTGTAATTGATATGTGACCTGTTCTTGACATGTGCCATGGCAAACAAAAACTGTGACCAAAATCACAACCAAATCAGTGGCCAGGTATGTGACCTGTTATTTACTATGTGACTTGTTATTAACATATGTAATGACAAACTGAAACGCCGACCAAAAGCAATACTAAATTTGTGACATGATCCTGTGACCTAATGTTCGAGGTACAGTTCGACCTGTGACCTGATCTTTGCATCATCTATTATGTGTGCTAAATCCGTGACTTGCTATGTATATCACATGTGACCTGTTATCGACATATGTCATGCCAAAGTAACTCCCACCAAATGGGAGTTTAAATCTGTGACCTGGTACTGTTGATATGTGAACTAATTTACACACGGCATTAAAAAATAAATCATATACCAAAAGCACAACCATGTATCCATGTATTGCAACAACATATTAACAAATGAAGGTTGGGGCACCCATGTATTGCAAAAGAACATTCACATCCACATGACAGTATTGAGTACAAACACCTCCATTGCTTGAAAGAAATATAAAATGCTACCAACTGAAGCATAAAACTCATTTACAAATGTTTTCATATTTGTCATTCTATTACAATTCCCTCCCCTTTAAAAGCCTGCCTCGCCTTCTTCACGTAAGTTTCTCGGTGTTTGTAGAGTAGTGAGGCGATATCAATTCTACATTTTGCAGCATCGAACTTATGGGGAATAGCACATCTGCCATCACGGAGGATATACAATGCATACAATATCACGAACACCCCGCAGTCATGACTATAAAAGCACACATTATAGTATGTTATGAATTAATTAATTTACAAGTTATATTGCTGTAGTTGGTCACATACTTACCCATTCGTCTGCTGAGGCAGGGTACTGTCAATGGTCACATTCATTTGCTTGCATTCAGATTCGTTGTAATCGGGGTCTTTTTTGAAAATTCCCAATGCTTTCATAAGAGCAGGCAATACCTTCACATAGGGTTCAATACCTTCCAGCACCTTCCAATCACGATATGTTTTTCCAGCTGAATTGAACAACATCAAAGTATGGCTTCTAAATTCTACTAGACCTAGCATCCAGTGAGCTTTGTTCGTGGGCAGGAGTGGTATGAACACATAGTCTACATCGGCCCAAGATGTGCTTAGGGATATCAAGCGACCTGTGACAGCCTTAATCATGCTGCTCTCCGACAACAGAACTTGAGGGTCTTTTTGGAAAGTGGAAAATATATCTTTTATCTTGTTCTGGAACCACGAGTCCGTCGTTGTAGCTCTTAACTTTACTTTCCCAAATTTTGCTACCTGGCGAATATAGTAGAAGCATGCATCCATGTGCTGTTTGAACATGAAGGACACAGTTAGGTACAACATTAAAAAGTTATGACTCTATGACAGTGGGCTGCTCAGCAGTATGTGCATAGTGTTGTATGAGGTTCTTAATGTTGTGTGACTGGTTAACAAGGAAATGTGTAGTGAACAGATAGATAAGCGTTACCATACCGAGCTGCTTAAAGACGTTTCTGCATTTATCAACTGATGGAACCATGTCTTGTGACCGACAGGGTATAAGCCAATACTAAAGGCTGGTTTGATTTGGTCATCTTGCTCATTAAACTTTTTCCTGTTGCCAAAAGTTGACTGTCAAGATACTGTAACTGTGTGACCAGTGTATTTGAAAATATAAGAAACATGTACATGCCTGTTTTTGGGTTTGTACCCTCTCTAAAACCAACCCAAGAATGCTGATTTATCAGCTTCATCAACATGGTCTTTATAATTTCCAAATACAATAACATTACCATCATGCCGCAGTACCTTTCCTTCCCTGACAACAAATGGGGACTGCAGTATCCTCGTAGGCCTTGAAGCCCGCTTAACTGGTAATGCAGATGCCGGTTCTGTAGTTGGTGATCCCTGTGACTTGTAAAGGTCACATTTAGCTTACATAAATTCGATGTACACATTGTGTGACTAGCATATTACACTAAAAAATAATAATTTGACTACCTCTTCGTCAATATTTTGGGATGCTGTGATCACATCAGATATGACAGCATCTACATGCTTTTGAATTTCTGAAGACTCCAAATCATCCGGTTGTGTGTATTCGATACCCAGGTCAAATGATGGCGGTTCAAGACTACTTGGAAAGGCAACATCTTCAGTTGGGTCGACCTTCCCCTTCCCTTTCCTGTCGACAACAGGTTGCAGTTTTTCCACCTGTATGTGAAATTGGAGAATTTCAGACATAAAATCTGTAACTATGTTCAGTGATAGATAGATTGAACATATCATGTACCTACCTCGTCGATCTTCTCGAATCCTTCGACAGGAGCTTTCGTGTCTTCATACTCATTAACTGGACAACCTTTCCTATCATTGAATCGCCTTAATATCTCATCCATGGAGCTTGAGATCATTGCAGTCATGGATTCAGACAGGAATTGCATGTTCGTCCTAATCTCGATCATGTCATGTTTTAACTGTCCTTGTATTATGATGATTTCAGACATCTTTTTTGCCTGATCAGAGTTGAGGCTCGACATCTGTGACTTGATGGAGTCCATCTCCATGGTTAATACTTTATTCTGTGACTTAAGTTCTGAAAGTTGCGCATTCAAATCGTGAAGCACTTGTAAACATGATTAAGATAAATAGTTAAATGTGACCTTATAAAAGATGTCTGTGACCATGAGAATTGAACTGTGACCAGTACTAAGTGAACTGTGACTAGTACTATGTGAACTGTGACCACAATTTGAAAACAATTGAGCAGAAATAAAAATAATCTTACAGCACTCCCTTGGATCCCATGTTGTTGTTCTTCATTTGGAGAAAGTTGGGGGCCTGAAGGGCCTTCATCAGCACGGGGCGTTTCTTGATGGGATAGCCCCTCACATCGTCGTGAAGGATCCACAAAATCGTCATCATCATTTGTAATGTGAGCCTTTCTAACACCAGTGTCCGTTACCAAAGGCACTGATTTCTCACTCATGTGTGAAGGATCAACAGACTTTCCCTTCCTGCTTTCCTTTGAACAGCTGCTCTGAGAAGACTCTGGTTGAATTGTTTTGTTATGCTGCATGCCATCCATGTATGGCATTGCCATTTTAGCTCCAGTAGGCTTCAGGTCACATATTTTAATCTGCATTGCATTACAGTAAAAGATTAGAGAACCAATAAATTTACCATATGTTCCACTATCAGCAGAATATGGATTACTGAAACATTACATTAGGCTTGTTGATACAGCCCAGCTCCTCCAACTTAGATGCAGAAGGTTGCTCGTTTGCATTCCAGTTATTGATTCGAGGGTGCGTCCTCGATACCCTTGTGACAATAACTTCATCTAGGTCAGGGAAGGTTTCGTAGATCCATGCTTGAAAGGCTACCAACATACCTCGTAGCTATAATGTGCGGTTTGTCGACTCAATGCATCTTTTAAAGAACTCAAAGTAATCTCAAACAGTAACTTTCCCCATGGGAAACTGTTTAGCGCGGGGAAGTCCTCAACAAGCGTGAACAAGTAATGGTCAACCACTTTCTTATAATCTCTAGGAAATAAGTATGCAGTAATGAAGTACAGGATACCAATGAGTGCCACATCATGATCCGGGAGAGTTTCAACAAGATCCAGATCAGGCATTTGGCAAGCAGATATGAATGTGGACTTCACATCTTCATGTGTCACGATATCGACTTGGGAAAAGTACTTATTTTTCAGTTGTGACTGTCTACTTTCAAAAATGCCCGTGTCACTATCGCCAGAACATCTCAGCCCTGTGACTATGCAAAACTCAGATATAGAGAATCTAACATAACGCCTAGCAACTAAAAACCACAACTCTGTAGGATTAGGTTGTTGGACCTGCCGCAAGAGGAAGTAGTGAATTAATTGTGGTTGTACCACAATTTCATGGTAGCCGAGAAAATAGGCAAAGCATGTTCCCTTCATAATGAGCTTCTGTCTGTCAGATAATTTTGATTGGATACTTGAAAGTACACCCTTGCTGACTGATGTTGTAATCTTGCCTGGGAATCATCGTTCCTTCGATATGATATATTGCCAATCCTGCACAAAATTGTTTAGAAAGACCCAATGTTCCATAAATGTAGGGAAATCACACACAATTAGATGTATGCAACTGTGTACTCTGACTACAGATAGATTAACATTGTTGTATAACCAGAAATAATATGATCACAGGCATGTGTAATGCTACAACAGAACTTAGTCACAGACGATTATCATGGTCACATGCCACGAGTATCATGTTCTATATTCAACTGAATGAGGTCACGTAGGTATGCATTGTTACACAATAAAGCCAATTATTGTGCATTCAAGTCACGTAGGTCACATGCCATGAGTATCATGTTCTATATTCAAATCATGATACAAAACAATTACTGGCATACATTTTTGTTGTGCATTCAAGCCACAAACCATGTAAGCCACAGTCACATTTGACATATTAGTCAAATGTAGGCATCGTTGTTCATAATGCGTATGGTCATAGATGTATAAATAAATACTGTCAACAATCAGGCCACATGCAACAATCAGTTGAGATGTCAACATTCAGGTCACACATTGAGATCTTGGTCACATATAGATAATGGCGAGGTCACAGACAATTGATC